CATTAAAAATTCTAGGAGACGTAATGACAGCAATACATACAAATCTATACCAACATATACATGAAGGCACACACGTACACACATAGCACTAATGAAAGCCTGTTCATATAAATAATGAGAAAAAGTAAGAAATACTTCACAATTATTCACCAATTTTAAACAGTAAAGGCTAAAACTGGGCGAATTTGCCAAATCGAAAAAAATATATATATATGCTAGTAAACTTAACATGCCATTATATCAGTTTACCTACTGGGTCATTCTGAGGCCACATTAGTACAAGTAGTTTCTCGTCCTTAACAAATATTGCTTTGCAAATATTGAACCCCACTTCACCCTTATCATCCCAGATGATCATCCATTATGAAACCACTTCACCTGCTTCCAAACATGCCTAACAACTGCTAAAACAATGGCTGAATCCAGGGCAAATTTGAACCAAAAACTTACAAAAATGTTATGACATGCATGCATTTCATTAAAGAGTGCACTGGGTGGATTTGGTGAAACTGTAAGGATCTGGTTAGTATTACACTTCTCTACAGTGTTGAGTCAGCATACGAAAAAGATGAAAAGGACACAAAATAGCACAGTATTTTCTTTTTTCGTCTATTTTTTTTTTTTTTTTTTTTGTAATTGAAGTCTGAGGTACCCCATGGCTGACTATGCACCCAATGACTCTACAACTCAATAACACAAAAAACAACAACTACAAAACAAAAAGAGCTAAACTGATGGATTACGTAGGATCTCTTGCATGACCTAGAAACTTAATTAGAATCCTAATCTACCTCCCGGAATTAGCATTAAATTGTTTTGGTTGTGATGATGCTGGTGCCAAAGTCCCAGCATTGAAAAAGGTAAACATCTTTGGCATAAAAACAATTAAGACAAGAAAATTCACCACTGGTAGAATGAATTTACCTTATTATGGTCCGAAAAATCTTTCTGTGGTTTCTAAGAAAATGTAATTACCATTGGCATACGATTATATCTCTCATTATAGGTCATTTCACTAAAGAGAGCTGTCCATAATACCAATAATCCCCCAGAAGATTTATGTTCTCTAATTGGAAAACAAAAGCATAAGGATTTTGCGCCCAGAGTAGGCACGATCTATAACAATGCTGAAGCACACACGGCACTAGTGGCTAATTTTGTTTGAAGCCGTGAGAAACGCACTTCATCGTTTTCTCCATATTGGCATTCTTCTAGCTAAAAAGCCTTTATCACCTGCCCCGGTGTTTTCATTCATAATTTCTTTATTGATATTTCTGACAAGCTACACCATGCAGCTGCACGGATAGCATTGTCTATGCTGTTAGGGATAATAGCACAGCCATTTGCCGAGCAAAATGGAATGAATATCTGACCATATTCCAGTCCACAATAGAGAAGCCATTGATTAGGTTTGTGCAAGCTCATCCATATGGCTCTACATGATGATATAGGTCTATGTCATGATATAAACATCATTTTTCAAAATAATAATTATAACAATCACAATAATAATAATAACAACCATAAAGAAGTACAGTAAGTAGTTTACAACAATGTTATTATTGGATATAGAAAAACTGCCTGTTAACACATTCTTACATCAAGCAATAAACAAACAAAACAAAAGTAAATAGATAAAAACCATAGCAGAAGGTTTTGTTGTTACAAAAATAAAAATATCCTATATCATCTAAAAGAACTTTAATCACAATCATTTTCAAACCAATTCAGGACCCTTGGACAATCTCCCTAAGAGCAGAATGTCACATATCAAAAGCTCCAGCTGAAACTGTTCTAATGCAAACCAAATCTTACACTCCCATGGGCATGACTAACCTCCTATCCTAGTGTGGTACACAACAATATATAAAAGATTTCATGTGAACATGTAAATCTCAATGGAAATCTAACCCGACTGCCTACCAGCAGGGCTGAAGACACACCTGGAACCCACTAAACAAAATAACCTCACACACCACTGAGATTATACATCTGGGCATTTTTCACACGCTGTTTCTGCAATATATACAAATCTAGGAGGAATGATCCTAGTCCATCAATGCAAAATCGTAATTCTTAGTGTATCTTAGTAAAAAAAAAAACCCTGGAAACCTTGTCAAAGAAACAAGGAAGGAATGAGATAAAGAGATACAAATCAATACCTTCTTTGAAATCTTCAAATCCTGTGGTTATATTGTCACAGATCCTCCTTATACACATGTATCTACCCTAAACTGATATCTTTGGCCAAAAGAGAGTTTATTGGGAGAATGGTTTTAAAATTCCAATTATAGCCTCTCAGTAATGCATGTGTAATTTGCTAGGAAATGACAAACTGCCTTTGCAATGATTTCTGTTGGCTGGGTCAAGTCTTTTAGAAAAACAAAACATTCAGGGCTAATATGTTAAGGGAGCCTGAACTTAACTATAACTTTCAGCTAGTACAGTCTCCAAAACCTGGCGAGACAAAAAATTGATCTCCTCTGTAAAGCCAGTAAAGGTAATTATCCATTTGAACTTGCAAGAAAATTGACAATTATACATCCTGCTATCTTCTGCTTTTGTACCTCACACAGAACTTCTGGAGATTGAAATGACCCTATATTTTCCCATGCTCATTTTTTTCTATGTTTTATCATATCAGTAATAAAACAAAGCTTTTTTTTTTTTTACAAAATCTAAATCACCAGTATTACCTTCAACACTTAATGATTTACCTGATCCATGTACAAGATAACCAGCAAATAAACAAAATGGAAAAAAAAAGAAAAAAAAAAAAGATCATACCTCCTCTCCCGAACTGGCTGCTTCAATATCACAATTCAAATTTGCAGTGGCCATTTCTCTGAATTCTGTGAATGAATTCCTGGGAACGGTCTACCTACTTCCCCTCCACGACTAACAGCCAAGCTAATCCTCACTGCACCAGAGCAGTAATTATATCTTTTCTCTTTATATAAAAAAAAAAAATCCCACTAAAGATCAGCTATAGGTACACCCAAAGACATCTCCACATCCTTTTTTCCGACTCTCCAGGTGCTCAGGCTGCCAGACGCTTACAACAGGATGTCCAGTTTGAATAATGTTTTAAGGTTATAATATATGAAACACTTTTAATCTCATTCCTATTGATCCAAAGGATGAAACTGTACAGGCTGTTCCGTGTGCGTGAAAGCACAGTTTGTATGCTGGCTGAGAAAGAGATAGATAGAGAGGCAGAGAGGCTCTCTGCGTATGGGCTGTTTCTAGCCTATTTTTTAAGACACATGGGGATTTGAGGGTTTATGAATGCCTTTTCTCAATCAGAAATAACTGATTTTTTTTGTCAGGTAAATACAACTTAAACATGAACTGAGGGTTTTAGGAAATGTTTGTTTGTGGCTAGTCTTATATCCCTGCTGCCATGCTGCATTAAAAGACCTATAAGGGATTTCTTCACTTCTTTCATTGAGGTTATACAGTTTGTATAAGAACTCAGAGAGAGAGAGAGAGAGAGAGAGAGAGAGAGAGAGAGAGAGAGAGAGAGAGAGAGAGAGAGAGAGAAGGGGGGAGGGGGATATGCCTGTGCATGCTCTTATCTTATGTCTCACTGCTTATAGGAAATAAACACAATTAACAACCTTGCTTCATATGATTCTCAAAGGAGAAGACACAAGTATGGTAAGCAAAAGGTGGTTACACTTCAATATTTAAATTTTCTTGTCATTAAACATTAAAAAAATCAATAGAGATTGAGGTTTATCACAAGGTTAAGTATTTATAGTCTGAATTATACAATCTAATGCATAGCATATTCTAGACTCATGCTAGCATATTAAATTTTAAATGATAAAGATATGTTAGCTTACAACAATGTAAAATACTTGATTATCTGCTTTTGTAAAGAGGTTTTTCATATATATATTTTTAAGTATCACTTACCAAGCACTGTTTTTGAAAAATCAATTTATTTTGTTAGAATTTAATGAACGATTATTTTAAATGCATCAAATGCATTATAAGATATGCAAAAAGCAGCAGTATCGTACTATAATTACAGATTTTGAATAGGACAACAAGTTAACTAACACCTTCCAAATGAGTTATTTCAAAATACTTAAATTTTACATTGTATACTGGAGTCTCAAATTAAATACATATTAAATACACATCCACAAATCACAAAACAGCCATTACACTTCTGAACAGATGCTTTAAAAACAAGAGACCAATTATTTTGGAAAAACATCTTGCAGTATGGATCACATTGTCAAGGCACTAATCCCAAGCAAAAAGAGTTGTCTTTCAATCAGAACTGTTCCCCCCCCCCCCCAACCCACTTTCTTTTATGAAATTGCACACACAAAACCACGATAAAGAATCCTAGAATACAAAAGACGCAGTGCCAACATACAGTATTCATTTACAGTAAAGAACACAGCTATTGTTCATACACATTAAAGGTGGAAAAAAATACAATAGGTTTATTGTCAAATCGATTTATCTCAAAGTGCAGTTTGAAGGCATCTCAGAAGCACTTGGTAAAATTGTGATATTAGTCAGGAGGCATAGAAAATGAAAGGTCAATGCAAAAACTGAAAGCAACATTGATGTCTCTTAAGAAAGCATGCTAAATGTACCACAGAATGTACGAATGTACATGTTATAAAAAATGCCCAAAACACAATTCATTAAAAAATTTGGTATAGACAGGTAACACTATGGCTATATGCGCAGACATGATATGTCTGTACATAAAAATGAATGGCAGAAGAAATGAAAGCAGACACCTGAAAATTACTAAACAGCCTCACAAAATGGGCAAGAATAGAAGTATACAGAGCCCCTGAGATAGACTGTGGAAAAGAAAAGAGGACCCATGTCAGCCAGGACAGTATTAAAATAAATTGATGATAATGATGATGATTTTCTTAACAATCAAGGAAAAGTAATTAAAAAAAAAAAAAATAAAAATTATAGAGACATTTCATTGAAGTTAGCAATAAAAAAGGGGGTCCTACCTGGCATCTCATAAGCATTTCAAAGAAGTTGTCGTCTGGTACAGCGGTGTCTGGACTGTTGTGGAGAAGCTGACCTATCACAGCCTGGCTATTATTCAGCCCTGGAAACTGGGGCAGATGTGCCCGTTGGTCATTCATCCTTGATCCCTGGATCCCAGCCACCATGTCAAGAAACTCATCTGCTTTGCCGGAAAGAGCTGGAATTAAAATGTTATTGGCATTAATGATTATTTCGATCATCACTTTAATCTGTAAGAACTGGTGCTGCATACAATGAAAATAAAGAAATACAAAGTCCTTTCGGAAAATGACTGTCCAAAATATATGTTACAGTACTTAAAATGTATAGTTTTAACATGTTGACTTGAGGTATATTGGGATTTCCCTTATCTATAACAAGTAATGATATCACTACATATACCCCCTGCACAAAAATAGTCCCTAATACAAAAACTGTCCAAATCTGCTAAGCTGATTTTCTGATGCTACTGTTTTCAAAGAAAAAAAGTAAGTAAGCAGTATCATTTTTGACTTACCTAGGCTATTTTTATTGGGAACTGGATGGTCACCTGTCACCTTGAATGAACATCTTTGGTCCTCCATGCGGCGGCTTTGAAATTTCATGATTTGGTTAAAGAAATCATCCTCGTCATTTCCGCTGAAGTCGGTTGTATGCTGAAAATGGATACAGAGAGAGGTGACCAAATTATTTTTTTTACTGTAACATAAAGCCAGTTCTACTTGTTTTATTTTACTAACCTTACTTAGTATAGAAAAAACTGTGGATAATTCTGCCCATGAGTCTAAAAAGTTATCCTAACCCAACAGTTAAAAAATTGGGTTTAAATTGGGTTTTATCAGCTCACTGTTTCCAACTAAGAAGTGATAAGAATTCAGTTTCAATACTGATGAGTATTATGCCTCCAATCAAAGGGAACAAGTCACTCAAGAGAATTTGCCAAGTAACTGATTCCATTACGATGACTTTGATTTTCAGCTCTAAAAGCCTGGTTCATTATCTGTTTGACATAACAACTCTACTCAAAGGCATTTTTTTCATATTCTCTCCTTTTCTGCATAAGTTAAATATGTTAAGGCCAATCTGATATGGGCATCAAGTAATTTTGTTGGCTATGCAAGCTATATCATGATTCAAGGTTGTTGTACAACTGTGAAACTTGTGAAACAGCTAACTACTTTGTAAAAGTCTGTTGTGCCTATAAACAAGGCTGTTGTGCATGAGATAATTGACCACCCTGTTAACAAGGCTGTTGTGCATGAAATAAATGACCACCCTGTATACAAGGCTGTTGTGCATGAAATAAATGACCACCCTGTAAACAAGGCTGTTGTGCATGAAATAAATGACCACCCTGTAAACAAGGCTGTTGTGCATGAAATAAATGACCACCCTGTAAACAAGGCTGTTGTGCATGAAATAAATGACCACCCTGTAAACAGATATTCTCTGTACTGCTCATTTCATGTCAGGGGTGGTAATCCAGGGGTTTTCCAAGATAATATACCAGCTTTACTGTGAAATAGCCACACCATAGAGGTAAGTGTTTAAATTTTCCCCAGGCACTCACTCTGACTTACCCCCTTTCCAATGGTTTTCAAAGTGACCACTTTGGCGGCGTGAACTGTATCCCCACTGCTCTGTGGGTCGCGATTCTCAACATCGATATCCGTCGCCACGGTGGCAGACTTCTGTAGCCTGTGGGATTTTGGCTTGGTATGGGATTTATGCTGGAATATCCAAGTAATAATGATTGAAATACAGCCAGGTTGCCTCAAATTACAAACTAATAGGCTTAAAGCTAGATCTTCGTTATAGGTTATGTTGGTGTTACTTAATATGAAATACGCATAATACTGAAATTTAGATTAGGCACAAAGGTATCATCACGTTGCACCTTCTTTCCATTAATCTGAGATAATACTGGACTGAAACCTAGCCTGAAAAACAACTTCAAGAACATCAAGTACTCACATTTTTCTTGTCAGGAGTGAGCTTCATCAGCTCCATGTTTTCCATGCTGTGTCTTCTCTGGCGGTTTGAATTGCGGGTACCTGTTAGAAACAGAGAAGGTAAGTTTTGAAGACTATTCATATTTAAGTAGATAAGAATATATCCTGTCAATTAACAATGTAAAAATAAACATACTAAGATTATTTAATAAAATACCTAAATCTTTTAAAGTGATTAGATAGCCAACAAACAAAATCATAATGTCATCATGTCCTCGAGAAATGACTTGATAGTCTCAATTAAACTGTTTTCAAAATTGGTGCAAGATGGATAAAAATTCATGCCAGTTTATTCATTTTGCAGTTATTTAAAGGGTATCACCCTGTGTGTTCATATCTTAGCCATCCCATAATATTTCTGCCTACCTCCGCTGTCGTCTGTCCTGTCTGAATCTGTTGTGGTGTAGGAGGAGGCCAGGCTCTGCTGGTCTGTGCTGATACTAATAAATAAAATATAATAATAAATAAGAAAATAACGTAATTGAAAAATACTATTAAGTGTTTGCGTAAAAAGTGGCAATAGTTTAATAGTAACATACCAGAATTGTATCTTTAATATATCTATCAAAATATATCAAACAACAGGTACAAGTTGTTCTTTTCTGAATGCTTATCTGCCTGTAGAACTGAAGGAAGGTCTGTAAAATCTAATACATCTGTTCATTTACTGGCCATTGTCTCTGCTTTCAAAGCCTTTGGGACAAAAAGATTGATTCTTAGACCATTTTAACTTTGAGTGCTAGATGGCTAACTGTTTGTGGCACAGATTGATCTCATTTTCAAGACATCACAATGAAATGTTCATAGCTGGTTTTGAACACAATGCAGTCTTCCCAGCTAACACAATATACATGTTATCTTATTCTTGTACAGATGGCTTTGGATCAAGATGTGCAAGAAATCACATCTAACACACTCAGTATTCAAACCACAAGTGAAAAAATTTAAAGGAAGTATAAATTCACTCCCAAAATTCTACATGGTTCATTGCAGAAAGCACAAGATAAATCAAGATTTTTTTTTGCTTCTCAATGCAAAATTTTGTGTGGGAATGAATAAAACCCAAAGTCAAGATGCAACACTTCCTATATAAATATATCCGAGAGCAACTTCTTTTTTTTCGTGCAAAAGTAAAGATTGTGACTAAATGGACTGACACTCAGCAAATACTAATAGAGGTATCACTGAATTTTTAGTCTCCCCCCCCCCCTTGGACCCTGTTGTTTTTTGCTTTGTTTTGGAGGGCAAAGAGAAAACAGTAATGGAAAACATTCCCAAGAGGACCACTTTGTTATCCAAGTACATCGGTTAAAACGTCTGTAAAACTATCTGAAACACTGCCTGAGGTAATGGCTAGACAAGATTGCATCCAACTGATAAAAATTTATCCCATTGAATTCCTCTCCATCTTAACCCACACAAGGGAATAATTACATAACTAGAATTTCAGAGCTGAAACAGGCTCGCTTTTTCATTTTCAAAATTTCCATCACTGTAGTTCGGCATGCCAATGACAAATATCAGCCGAGACTGCCCATGGGCTCTTATTCATAACTACAAAATCTGAATGACAGGACATGGGTATGTGATTGACATGCCAATGACAAATATCAGCCGAGACTGCCCATGTGCTCTTATACATAACTACAAAATCTGAATGACAGGACATGGGTATGTGATTGACATGGAAAGCTTGTCGCTGATAACAAGAGTGCCCTAAGCATGAAAATATGTGGACCTCAAAACAAGTAAGAGGCGAGAATGCATCTGACCTGAATTTTGGGTTATAATTACCTGGATGTGTCAAGATCTGATGGCAGTCTCTCACTGGGACTGATGCCAAGTAGAGTCCTGAGATCAGACAGGTTCATCTTGGCAGTGGCTTCACCTGTGGAATCTCCAATCTAAAACATTAAATATATGAAATATTAACCATTGATGTATATGGCATCCATATGCTGGTGGAAATACAGCACCGGTATTTATTTTCCATTTATCGTACATGTTGGAATGTTTAAAAAAGGTTAACATGGATTTTTGTAATAGGTCTACCTTTTACCTTATTTTTGAGAGTTTATAACATGAAAAAGCACTTGCAAAGAAGGTCCAGCCAGTCTTGGTACTACCCAAAGTTAAAAAAATGGTGAAGGAAATTACACAAGTTGCATATACCTTAGATAATTATGAGACAACTTCATTCTTTTTATAATCTAAGGCAGCATTTCTTTTTTTTTTCTGCCACAAAACCAACTGACAATGTGAATATCAGTTTCAACACAATGACACGATCAATAGTATCTCTTTTCTCTCATTGATAATATCAAAACCAATTAGGATCAGGTTCATGCAGCTATGCAGTGAGGTTACCTGCATCCAGGTGGAAGTGATTACTGCCATTAAGTCAACATTAGTTTGACAGAGCTCAATCAATTTTGTCCCTTTTCCTGTTTAATCCTGTTTTGGTTCGAGACCAACCATACAGACATGACCCATAACTCGGGTCAAACACTGGTCATTTAGGATACAACGTATCACGGGAAACCAGTAATGCGCTCTTACCTCTTTGGAGATCAGAAGGTGTTTGCTGGCAAACTGGAGTGCCTGCTCATGGTTCCCCAGCGCAGTGTGTGCATTTCCCAGACTCCAGCATGCCCGACCCTCTCCGATACGGTCCTGGAGCTCCTGGGCAATCCGCAGGTGCCTCAAATGATACTCGATGGCTTTGTCATAGTCACGGAGTAGGGTGTAGGTATTGCCCAGGCTGTAGCAGGCCTGCGCCTCCAGTGCACGGTCTTGTAGCTGCTTGGCAATTTGAAGCGTTTTTCTGAAAAAGAAAATGAATAGCGAATCATTCGTTGAAGTTATAAGTTAAATGCATGTAATTTGACCATTGATCAATCTGCAAACTGGGTGCCCTGAATATTTGAGGACTTGTGGTATTTTACTCTATCTAGTTGCCCTTTTTTAGGAGGCGGCAAAGAGCCTTCAGAAATTGGGAACACCCTGACCAACTCTACTACTTGAATCATTTCTAACTTTTTTAATGTGTTATACTTACCTCACTCTCTCCATTTGTTTATTCTATACACAATACCAATACTACTACAGTTCAATAATGAATACAGTATAAAATTTCGACCAAAGATTTGGATAAAAATTGCAACTTAACACAAATACATATTGATTATGAATATACTTCAGATCTGCTCATGCCATTCCTTCCTATACCTATTATCCTAAATTTCTACCATCCTACTCATCATGCCTATTCATAGGAGTTCCATAATATCCTTAAGGAAAATGGAAGAATAGCAAGAACCTAATAGAACCTGGCTTACATCACAGCTAAATATACAAACAAGTCTGTAAACCTATTATCCAAGAAAAATACCATGAGCTTTTAGGGATTGTTTCATAAGGTTGAAGGTCTCAAGGACAAATTCAAGATAACATCTAAAAAATATTAGATTTCAAAAAAGCAACATATCACTAAGACACTCCAATAACAATAAGCATTTGCCAGAAAAAAAAAATCTCTGGTGAAATTTTGTCTGCCATTTGACAGCCAAGGCATAAGGTAAAAAAACAAAAGTAAAAACCTTACTTGTAGTGATCTGCAGCCACCTCAAACTCTCCAAGGAAGATGTGAGCATTCCCAAGATTGCTGTACGCCCTCCTCTCTGCTGCTTTGTCACCAAATTCCTTGGCAATGGCAAGACGCTGAAATGACAAATATTTTCCTGCAGTGTACCAGACAATTTTTGTTTCAAAAGCTCTTGACATTTGCGGTCTACCAAAAAGCTGTCAACATACCTAATCAATCTGCTGCCTTGCTATTATGAAATTACTTGGTGGTTATCTCTGAACTACATTTAGATCACATTTGCTACAATGTATCCAAGGCATTCAATAAAAACATACCAACAAAGATCTTACTTTCTTTCTTTCTCTGTTCATTTCTTTGAAGTCAAAGCCCTGTTCATTACTAATATACAGTATGCTGCCAAAATCAATTGAAAAATCACAAGAGTAACACCTTGCCACATTTAGTACTCCTTTTCTCTTCTGCTGTCCACACACACACACACACATACACACACACACACAAATAGCACTTATAAGTTCTTTTTATTCGATAGCTTTTGTTACATCCATGTAATGTCAACTTAGAAAGAAAATTCAGTCCTAAAACAATGGGTTCATACGGTGATACAGAGTTTCAGCTGTAATCTCACAGAAAAACTGTTTAAAAAGGTCTTCTTAAACACACTTGCATCCTACCATTGGTCTCTTTCTTCACAACAAATTTGACCTTTTCCAAGAAAATGCCCAACTGTATTTGTGAACTAAAACAGTCATTCTATTTACCAGCAGTGATACCACTGTAACACTTTCTTGATTAGCTGGTATCCAATTGCTTTGGCCTAATGATTACAAACAGGGGATTGTAAATCCAGTCAATAATCTTTATGAATTCAGACATAACTTGTTCAAAATGTTCTCAAGTGACCTTTATGGTATGGAGTTGTTGCCCATGCTGATTGAAAATGCAATTATTAACTGGATAGAGCCTGTCGTACTCTGGAAGAAGGCCATCATTCAAGTACACTTTATTCTGGCGTTGTACTTTTTAAGGCTATTATTTTTGTGCTCAGCGCCACAAGAATGTTATATGATCAACTGAATCAAAACTTTAAATGTGATAGATAAAACATCATGTTGAAATAAAGTGGATAGTTTTCACAATTTTAAAGTTTTCTTTATCAATCAAACATAAAAACAATATGAACCAAGATACCTATGTCAAGTCAGTCTGTCAGCACTGTAAACATGAGCCTCTGACGCAATCCATAATTAAACAGCAATCTCCATGGCATATGCAAAATTAATACTAAATGCTGGAGAAATCACTCTGGCCATAAAAACTGGATTCAGTTTCAATCGTTTTTTCTCCCATGTTGCCCAAATTTCTAATATTCTTTGTGACTTGACTAAAATAAAAAGAACAAGAACATACATTTGCAGGCAAAAAGATACTCAACAAAAAATTGAAATTTTGAAGTTCATCATAACTGGACAACTAAGATATCTGCAATTACTAGACTCATAAACATTTCAAAGAAAAATATATAATGTGAAGAGTGTTTAAAAGGTGCACTATGTACTTTTCAAACTGCCTACTGTAGGATAAAGTAAGATAACTAAGTCCAGTTACCAAATTTCTGAAAACTTTGTACAATGCCCACCTGCTGCGTGTTCACCATCTGGTGACTCTGTGGATGTAACAGCTTGGATTAGTTTTCATAATTTAACAGGAGCTCACAATTTTCTGCTCATGTAATGACACAACATCATGTTTTATCAGAGTAACAAATTTTCTGATAAAAGAGAGAGTTAGATTTTGTATTAGACCTGCCCCTAACATCTTGAAGAAGGTAGTAGCATCATGACAATATGTCGTTAAGCACCCACGCAAATTCTGTGCACAGCTTAATATATATATAAATTATGCATGTGCAGTGTGCAAACAGTGTGTTGACTTGTACACACGTGTTTGGGCATGCGAGTCCTATTTGCATTCAGGTCCAACCTCTGAGACTTCAATACGCAGTGTCCATCATTCTTTTAAAAAACACATCGACTTTTGATATTAACATATAGAACTCTAACTGGTAGTTTTCAAAAGACCCATGTTTAAAGAAACTTGTTAAAACCTCACCTGTGACTTTCTCATGAATTATGATAAAAAAGTTGGTCTGGCAATAATGAAAGGCCAAGTTGTACCATTAGTTCTTTTTCAAGAATAAGATATTGTGCATTCCCCAAGGCCATCCCAGACCTGCCTATTAATCTTACAGTCAATCAATGAATTCTGTACACAAAGCAGGCATCAAAATTATCCTTGAAAAGTTTTCTAATTATGTTAAAAGCATTTCAGGCAATGCACAGTTATCTAAATTGAAATGCTAATTATGATTAAAAGCCAGAATTAAGGTTAATGTGATTGTACACATTTTGCGTGATTAACAGATATGTAATTTTGTAATTTGTGAATTCCTTTACTTAAATATTTTCGGTGACTTTACCTGTGACACTGACACTGACACTGTTAGGACAAAAATTACAGCATACATACCAAAGGGGCAATTGCCAAAAGAATGTCAAAATTTGAGTCCATTTCTTTGAAACCTCTTTCTTTCTTGTATAAAATATTGTGGAATGACACTTTATGGTTTTTGAAGTAACTATTGACCAAAATCTTGGCTGCACTCAGCAACAAAATAAAAAGCCTGAGAATCTCCCTTAGGAATGTTCCCCATCTCAGGACTCATTAACAGACCTTAGATATTTCTTCAAAACCAAACTACAATTCACTCACAAGCCAATTTAAAATCAGCCATTGTGGTTCAACATAACAAAATAACAATCAAATACCGACTTATTGCGATATTTAATTAAATAAGGGGACGAAAAACATGTCCTGAAAAATTTTGTGCCAACAGAGTTACAGGATGTAAGGTTGACACAAAATGGATAATGCTGAAAAACCTATTTCTAATTTATTTTCTAGATCTGCTGGTCACTGTAGATGTTTCACATATATACAAAAGTCAAATGTCTGAAATGTTAGCATAAACGTACCGTCCATATATAAATATGTATATTCACCATCAACCAGTTCACAAAATGATCACTTTTTAATACTTTATACGCTAGTGTAAAAAATAATCCATAATAAATTTATCAAATCTGTTTGTTTCCTACTATCTCAGTCTAAATGCATGCTAATGCTACTGCCATTTCATATTCAAAATCCTAAGAACATATTGATTAAGAAAAAAAAAATCACTTCAAACGCCTAACTCACCGATTCACACTTGGCCATGTTAGCTTTTGTCTGCCTTTGGCACATAAACATTAAAGCAAATGCTAATAGATTGAGTGTAAGCAAATGCCTCTGCTACTGCAAAACTCGATGTGGTTCCAGGCAAACTCTTTGCGCAAAAGGTGCTCCGAGCAATTGAAGCCAGAAGAAGAGTGTCGTTTCCACTTCTGTTTAGCACCACTACTTGTGGGTGCAGCCATGCTGAAGTCCTCCTGTGCTATAGCATCCCATTAAGAAAAGTCTCGATTTTACTCTGATATTAAATGATATCACCCTTCATACTTAGCTTCTACGTTTATACTATATACTGCCAGTAATGTCCAATGAAAAGCCCCCTAATATTAGTATTGCAATATTCACCTTCAGGGCCCTCTTTCCTGGCAATGAATTTTTAAAATGAACAGGAGATGGCTTAAATTCCTACGACTTTGTTTCAGTGCCAGTGACAGATTACTGCAATGATTGCTGGGTTTTATTTACTGTATTAAAATGTGCAACAATGCTGATCAAAAATTTTTCTTAAATAAACTATTTTAACTGCTAAGTCTTACACAGAAAAATATAACAGCTAAGTTTCGTCTGCGAGGATGAACACTCTTTTGCTCATGCAGAACACGCATGTATGCACGCACATGCACATACACACACACACACACATACACACACACACAACCTGTGTCTTTGGTCTGATATTTCATTAGCAAAGAAACCGAGCTATGCTCTACTGGGGACTATCCATTATCTTCATATACGACTTCTCGCGGGACTGCAGATTAGTGCTCCCTTAAAAAGGGTTGTACAGATCAATAAATAATGCTTCACAACATTTTAATGCCTTCATTACAAAGTCAGTCTGAATTTTGTCATCGACTTTTTAAAAATTTATACAGCAAACACGTGACCAACCCGAGTGTCAATGCTCATGGTCATATAGTTATAGGAATGATAAAGCGGGCCAAGTCCAAATTGTATTCTAATACCCAGGGTATTGTGCTATTTGACTTGTATTTAGACATACTTCACTTATAAGGTCACATCTTGGTGTTGTATTGGCTTTTGGTCACATATCTGCTATCTCTGTCTAATTTTAATACTCAGTGAATTGAATAAGACTTTAGTTTGCATTACATAAGTTATCTGTACTTTTTTATATATTTTGTTAATCTGTGTGTGTGTGTGTGTGGGGGGGGGG